GCAATTATCAGTCGAGAGCACAAACGACAAGCATAGGACGTTGAGGAAGGCGCCGACCCGAACCTCAACGATGCGTGTCCAGTGCCTCGCGGTGGTGGCTGCGCTCTCTTTTGTCTCGAGTGCCGACGGGCTTCATGTCGTCCCCAACTCCGCTAAATCTGCATCGCTACGAGCGCCTGCTGAAGCCCGCTACCAGCCTTACGTGGAGGGCAAGACGGACCGGTTCTTGGTTAGCGAGTCCAAGAATGACGTAGCCACCGAGGATTCGACTAAATACGCGTTTTCTACTTTGAAAGACGATAACGATATGCTCCAGGACGACGACCAAGACGAGGATGAGGACGAAAGCGAAACTGAGGGAAACGAGGGCGAAGAACGTTTCTCGTTCAAGAGGAGGAAAAAAAAGAAGAAGAAAAAGAAACACAAAGAGACGCCAACGCCGACCCCTGCACTGAATAGTACGGCGACACCCACTCCAACACCGACGCCGAGTCCTGGCAGAATCGACCGTTTAGTCTCCTGGTTTGATCGGAGGTTCGACTGATTCAGAGAACCCACTTCCGCATTCCACGTAACTAATAGTTTTGAATTGGACGATTTCATCTGTCTTCCAGAGGTTTAACTGAATGCCCAAAACTTCTTCTGAATTCTAAAATAATGTACTAGTATCTGGTCACAATTTATTATTTAGTATTAATAAATCTGACGCTAAAGCAAAGTCCGATTATTCGCGTCTTGCTAGTGAAGTAAAACTTTTGTCCCGCGTGTTCTATTACTGTATCACAGTTGTTGGATTGACTTGTTGCTAGAGCAAAGAAATCGGAGATGTTACATCAAAATTATACCATTACGCTTGAGACTGCTGATATGGCCTACGAACTCACTTTGAGGCACATTATTAGCTGCGGTTGGCTTGGTAAATATGAACCCAAGGTCGACGTAGTCTCTGATAACAACGAATGCGCGTTGTTCATCACGTGTATCGTTTGCACTAGAAAAGAAATACTTAAGTATTTGAGCACTAAGAAGCCAGACGATGGAAAAGAGAACACGTACGCATGGAATCGAACATTGATTCTTATGCGATGCAGAGTTCGTAATAAAGCGTACTTGGGTAGTACATCTAACATGTTTGTGTTGGTGTTTACTTAAAAGGGTAAGACTCCTCCAGAATTGATGTGAAGACGCCATCCTCAAGCGGCATCACAACCGTCGCGCCTGACGAAAAAAAAATCGCGTCTGACGTATCAGCGTCAAAGTCAAACTTACTCAGTGCATCACGCGCTTCATCTGTTAGCTGTTCCCACGTGACGAGATCCTGCGTTCCTCCCGACTTTTTTGTTAGACGAAGGGCCTGGTTGGACAGCCAGAAACCAATGTAGGAATCCAGTTTGAGTGTCGTCCCTTTTTCAATATACTTCGTCTTCGGAGAAGGCTTCTTCACGTAGCCCTTGCTACCGGACATGGACACACCAAGAATAGTCGAGTTGTCAGGATTCGTGTTGTCCGTCCACACAATTGCAGACGACCAGAAGTGGCGGTGACCTCTATTATATTTGGATGCACGAAACGCTCCCTTCGGGAAGTACCAAGCGTACATAATGGCCCATTTGCCCTTGTACCAGTCCGACCGCGAGTAGATTTGGGATCCTTGGACAGGCTTTTCGCAGTCACTGTTGGCCCAGCCAGACCATTTCAAGCCACCACTGATCGCGCCGTTGGCCTGAACAGCAGGATACGGGTAGCAGCCCTTCGAAATATGGAGTTGCGGTTTGTACTTGATGGCAGACTTCTCCGAGTCTGTGGTTGGTTCCATCTCTTCGAACGGTTGCACTTGGTCGTGGTTGATCGTACGGATGCCAGCATTGACTGACACGAAGGAGAGAAGAGCTCCGAGGAAAAGGACGCCAAGATTCATCTTTGAGCTGGAAGCGAGGTAAGCTCACAATGTGGTTGATTGAAAAATGAATCAGTAACGAATGGAACTTATGCAGGTATTAATAATAATACATATGCCTCGATGCTGAATGATATATTTATTCCTGTAATAGTATTGAAGTAGTAGAGATACTTTATTGCAATGGGATAGACTAGTATACATTACATATAATATACTAAGTATTAATAAATGCTCTCTGCTACGTGTACATGTCATGAACTTTCCTGTGGTGAAAATCTATTCGTTCTAGACAAATTGCATAGTTCCAGCTCCCGCAACTATGTGAGATTGAACAGCAAAAATCATAATGTCCATTGGTGTGAAAGCGCTGCACCATAAATATAAATATTATCCACTTCCGGTATTGTGAAATGAACACATATAAACATGTATGTATATATACATGATATATATATATTGAGTAGATAGCAGTACCCGTGACACCATTCGTTCATGCTCAAGATACTCCTCAACAAAATATCCCCCCCCCCCGTGAAATATCTTGCCGTGGGTGAAAACTTTAATTGACAGACTTTCAAACTTTTGCGTGCGTTTAATGAAATACTACCTTCAAAATAGTAGTGATAAAAACAATAGTATTAATACTGTAATACATGTTGTCATCCATTGCACTGATTACGTACAAATTTACCGTATTTTTACGATGCATCTGAAAGCATTATACAGTAGTGAAAAGCTTTCATGCTACATTTTTGTGTTGACTTGTGCACCGTCTCCCTTTATTGTTTCATGTCATCTATCGAGCGACCACAAATGCAATGAGCAAAAAGCCAAAAGTGACGAGTTCCTTAAATCCTCTTTACAAGAAGTATTAATAGTTGCGACTTTGGTTTGCTCTTATTCAATGTTACTGCTTCCAAAACAGCAACGGGAACCGGATGTTTATGCATCAGCACTTCTGGGCGCATCAGATAGGTCCTTGAACAAGGACTTCACGTGTATTAACAGGACATCCTTGGCATTCACAGCCTATATATTTCGGCTAAATCTTCTTAGGCTCATTCAATGGCATGTTTAACTATTTCTAGCATCAGTCACAGCTTTTTTTTTCAATCATTAACGCCTTGAGTCTCATTCGCCTTTGCCTCTAATAATTTATGCTCAATCCTTTTTAAAATGACATGAAGGAGTCAAGTGTGACGGTAGCTTATGCCGTCAACCGTGATGGTAACGTTTATCGTCAACAATCTGATCACTATCAATCAACTCGCAGGGCACATCGAACTGTACATTCGTCGCTTTCGAG